CTGAAACGTTGGAGGGTGCACCAACCACATTTTGAGCATTACTCAGTTTGGAACTTAGCATTTGAGAGGGTGCAGGCATGTGTAAGCACAGAATCACATTTTTAAAATTTTTATAAATTTAACTAATTAATGAATTTCTTTATTTTTACCCATTCCACCCCTCTTCAAAGGACAACTTTATTTTTTACTTTCATACAAATGAGAATTACATATTCTGTGAGGCCCTCCCGTGTAGTAGTAGAAGTAGTAACGGTAGCAGTGGTAAATGATTTAATGCTAAAGAAAATTGAGTCAGGTGGTTTACTATGGATATGTATGTGACTTAGTGTTTATGTGAATAATACTTCTAAGCTGAAATAAATTATAAATGGATATATATAAAGGTTAGATAAAGACTGGTATATTTTTATGTTTCTTAGCAGTTATCCTCTCTATGGCAATATATTCTGTAAGTACCTGTAAGTTGGTCCAGTAATTGATATGGCAGGTCTACCTAGATTTCCAGTCTTGAAAAATTATTTTCTTGGTGATCGCTAGAGAAACGAGTAATGGGTTTTTGTATTTAGTTAAAAGGATAATCTGTGTGGTGTGTCCAAACAAACAGCGTTGAGGACAATGGGATTCTGCAGCCCATGATGGTGGAGCATTAGTAACTGTGGACCAAATGGAGTGAACAGGTTGACAAAACCTAAGTAGCATGTATCATCTGAGAATCATCTGTGTGTCCCATGGTGCATTGTAGACAGGTGTCTGTGTCCAGTAATCCAATTTTAAATACTTTGTTGTAGGTGATGTGAGATCTGTGAATGGTTTAAACTGTATAAGTTGTAAGTTTGGTGTTAGTAGTCATGAAAAACGTGTTTCTACAGATTTGTATCTAGAAGTCAGAGCTGGGAGAGAGACTACAGACAACCAGAGCTAAAAAGAACAGCGTGCCGCTTCAACAATCGCTGCAAGAAACATTACAGAGGCGCGAGAAGCTCGCTTCAGAGACCAGCAAGGCAAAGATGATCACAGAGAAATTGACTGAATTCATTTTGCTAGATGACCAACCAATTTCTGTTGTGAAAAATGTGGGGTTTAGACGCTTAATGGATCACATGGTTTCCACGGCTGCACTTTTTTCTGAGAATCATCTGTGTGTCCCATGGTGCATTGTAGACAGGTGTCTGTGTCCAGTAATCCAATTTTAAATACTTTGTTGTAGGTGATGTGAGATCTGTGAATGGTTTAAACTGTATAAGTTGTAAGTTTGGTGTTAGTAGTCATGAAAAACGTGTTTCTACAGATTTGTATCTAGAAGTCAGAGCTGGGAGAGAGAGCCAGGTCGTTCTTCCATTTTGTATATAGAAGTGTAAAGGAGGGGTCTGAGGTGGATGTAAGTTTGTATAGCTTAGAGATGATTTTCTTAGTGGTTGTTATTTGCATAATCCTCTCAATAAAAACAGATGGTTACATTGTGTTATTTATGATATTAGTTTTTAATTTAATAACGTGTTTTAACTGTTGGTACTGAAGGAGTTGGTCTCTCCCAACTCCATACCTCTGGATAAGTGTGTTAAGTCACATAACAGTCCTACAGTTTGCAAGAGTCATAGCTTGAAACAAATGTCCATGGTACATCACCTGCCTATTCATTTTTTAAATCAATTTTCCCCACTCAGCGACACACCCGCTGAGAAACCAACTCTGGTAACTGACTCTATAGTCAGAAACATGACACTAGAGACACTGGCGGCCATAGTCAAATGTATTCCTGGGGCTAGAGCAGGCGATATCGTATCCATTTTAAAGCTGCTACAGTAAGGTTGTTATTCACCTTGGTGCTAATGACTCTCGACTTCACCAGTCAGAGGTCACTAAAATTAATGTTGAGTCGGTGTGTAACTTCGCCAAAGCAGTGTCAGACTCTATAGTTTTCTCTGTGATATATTAAATAGGTTGAAGAGTCTGTGAAGATAGGCTTGTCTATTTTTGATGATGCCAGTCTAGTCAGGGTGATGAGAGTTGGAATAACTCTCTTATTTTCTATTCTGGCTTTGGTTATAATTTTTAAGTCAGTATTGATTACATAGTGGGAGTAGTTTTAATTTCTGATACTACTCTGTAGAATAGCCTTTGTAAGATGTTCCAAAAATGTTTATAGATTTCAGCTAGTAGTCCATCTGGTCCTGGTGGTTTATTACTGGGCATTTTGTGTAAGGTTTTATATATTTTATCTAAGGTGAGGTGTGCATCTAAACTTTCAGTGCCAGTTTCTTGGGGTACTGGGTGTGGTTGAGCGGTCAATAGATGGGTCATTAACAGTGTTTAAGTCTCCAGCTATTATGATGTTTATTGAGTTGCTTAGAAGGGAGAAAAAGTTGTTGAAGAAGGATCGGTCATCACTAATTGGTCCATAAATATTAGTAAGTGTGAGTGTTATGTGATTGATTGATACATTAATCAAACACAAACCTTCCATCTGGGTCAATAACAGTGAATAAATGGGATATTTTTATTTACTATAACTGAGAGTGATTCAAAAACCCTGATGAAAATTGCCACTTCATGTTGTGCTACCTCACCTGGATTAGGGAAACCAGGACACCCTGCTGGAGCCAGACCTGGGAGGGGAGCTCGGCAGCGACCATCTGGTGGCTGGCAGGAATGGCCTGCCCAATCTGAACCCAAATGGTGCCATGTTATTGGACTTCTGTGCTAGTCATGGATTGGTCACAACAAATGCCATGTTTGAGCATAGGGTTGTTAATAACTGTACTTGGTACCAGAACACCTTAGGCCTTAGATCAATGATAAACTTTGTTGTTGTATCAACGGATTTAGGTTTGTTTTACCTTGGACGCTTGGGTAAAGAGAGGAGCAGAGCTGTCAACTGAGTTTGGTGAGGCTACGCAGAAGTACTTTCTTTCTTAAGGAAGTTCTGGAAAACCATCTGGTGACTCAGAAAGGGAAAGCAGGGCTTGGTCCAGGCTGTGTTTGGTAGGGGAGGAGAACTGCTGACTCAGACTGGGCATATTGTCTGGTGGTAAGGGCATTTTGAGGAACTCCTTAATCCATTTAAAGTGTCCTGCAGGGAGGAGGAAGAGGTGGAAGACTTGGGAAAAACCTCACCCATATCTCTGACAAAGGTCACTGTAGTCAAAAGGCTCCTCGGTGGCAAGGCAGCAGGACTGGATGAGATTAGCCCTGAAATGCTGAAGGCTCTAAACATAGTTGGGCTGTCTTGGTTATCACTCCTCTTAAGTGTTGCATGGAGGATGGGGACAGTGCCTGTGGACTGGCAGACTTGGGTGGTAGTTCCAGTTATTGGGCTATCACTCCACTCATTCTCTCTGGGAAAGCCTCTGCCAGGGTGCTAGAAAGGAGGCTCAGAGCAATTGTTGAGCTTCAGATTCAGTAGGAACAATGCAGATTCCGTCCAAGTCATGGAACAATGGACAAACTCTTTACCCTTCCAAGGTTACTGGAGAGATCCTGGGAGTTTGTCCACTCACCGAGAGGTTAAACACATTCCAAGTTGGTGTTGGTCTTCATCAGGATTGTCCCTTGTCCTGTTTGTGGTTTTCATAGACAGGATATCAAGGCCCATTTTGGGGGGAGGAAATTGTCTGGTTTGCGGCCCATGGAATAGCCTCTCTGCTATTTGCTGATGATGTGGTTTTGTTGGCTTCATCAGACTGTGAACTCCAGCACACACTGGAGCAGTTTGCAGAATGAGTGTGAAGTGGTGGGGATGAGAGTTACCTCCAAGCCTGAGTTCATTGTGTTCTGCCAGAAAATGGTGAATTGCTCTCTCATGGACTGTAATTGAGTTATCTCAGGGTCTTGTTTACAGGTGACAGTAAAATCCAGTGTGAGATTGACAGACAGATAGGGGCAGCATCAGCAGTAATGCAGGCATTGTACCAGACGATTGTGGTGAAGAAGGAGCTCAGCTGAAAGGCAAAGCTCTCATTTTACCAGTCAGTTTATGCTCCACCCCTCACCTATGGGGGACAGCTTTGGCTCAAGAGGGTAGAGCGCGTTGTCTTCTAACCGGAAGATTAGCGGTTTGATTCCCAGCCTGTCCAGTCCACATGTTGAGCAAGACACTGAACCCCCAGTTGCTCCCAATGATGACACCAGTGCGTGAATGTGTGAGTGCTTGGGAGTGCGAATGAGTGAATGTCCAAATAATGTGGTAGCACTTTGAGTGTGCTGCAGTGCATAGAAGACCATTTACCAACATTTAACAAGACCATCTATGGCCACGATCTGTAGGAATAAGATCATGAATACAAGCAGCTGAAATGAGTTTGAGTCTGGGTACTCCTAGGAATCCTGTCAGAGGAACGTCTAGAATACCTTGCAGAACCTGGATTAGCAGAAAATAATGGATGGATGGATGGTTAAAACTGAGTCACCTCTTTGTTTACTGTTATATGGTGCAGAGAATATTTGATCATATTGATTAAAGCTGAGCTGTTGTGATTCTAAATTGGTTATTTGCATTTCCTGTATGAGGCATATGTCAGCCTTTAATCTTGTAAGATGGTTAGTAATTTGAATTTTTTTAGTTTGAGTACAAAAGCCACGTACATTCCATGTTACCAGGTTAAAGTTTTGCAGGTTTGTGTGTTATGTAGAGGATGGCATGGTGGTTAGCGCTGCCACATCACAGCAAGAAGGTTCCAAGGTAAGAACCTAGGTCTTTCTTGCAGAGTTTGCACGTTCTCCTTGTGTCTGTTTTATGAGGTTCTTGATTATGGATTCTAGATTTTTGGTGGACTCTTCCTGAATTCCCAAGTATATCAGGTTATCACACATAGACCAATTTTGTATCAAGTTTCATTCATGGGTTTATTTTCTTTTCTGAGTGTGAGCATCTGTGAGTGTTTTAACAGAAGCCTCCATGGTTATGCATGTATTGCAGGCTATGGCAAATGTCTTTTATTTCTATTTCAGTGTTTTTTTTAAATTGACGGTGTTCATAGATGAGTCCTTCTTATTTGTTTTGAGCGGGTTTGGAGTATTTGTTGCTGAGTCGGGGTCTTTGTTTTCCATGTTGTTTTGCAGTATGATAGTAGTAGTCAATCAATAATTCCAGGTTCTTTATTCCTTCACTGTGGTGTTAATCCGTAAAAGGGCATCTGAAGTTTGCTGAACTCTCAATATAAGTTGAGTTTAAAATAATAAGTTATTTAGTTTGTTTTACTTCATTAAGCTTAGGTTATGTCTTAGCGGCGCGCCGCCATGTTGTCTCTCCACCCTATTTCATCTCCGATTGCGTCACAGATTTATGTCCATCACAGAGATATGTCTGTCACAGGGTTATGTTGCTGCTCATTCCAGCTCTCACAGAATCAGATTTAAGAGTCTAATCCATGCCGTGCCTGTTCTCATTTCCGAGTTTGTGCTTTTAGATTTCTCCACTGGGGTTTGCGTGAACATCTGTCCACGCTAAGATTTGAAGGTGCACAAAACAAGTTGTGAGTGCTATTCAGACTGCAAATCAGAATTTGAGATCACACAGGCATGTACCTGTAACAGCAGAGAGAGATTTGAGAGTGAGGCAGGACAGAATTGTGATCATACCGGATAATTTCTGTGAGGAGCAGGAATTCTCTTTCACTTTCAAATGTGATACTGCTTTTACAAATCTGCACTTTCTCAAATGCTGAGTTGCAAAGTGATCAGCTCTTGAAAATTGGTTTGTGCACCCTCAAACATTTTGGCCAGGATTTGCTTCCATATATTCTCCTGAATTAGTATCCCTGTTGGTGAAACGAGATATGCCATCGTGAAAATCACTAACCTTCTGATGGTGTGGCATATGCTAATGGGAAAAGTTTAGTTAGGGTTAGTACCATAGTCTATATGAAAATTAAAGTAATGGGATAAAAGCATGGTATCTTTTAAGGTGTCATTTTTTACACAGTATACATTTTCATTTGAAGAAAATTTGTGTTTAATATGCTAAAACAAAAATGTCACCATAACTAATAAGCACCTCACATTGTACTTGGTAAACACTTGGAGCAGAAGAGCCAAATTAAAGTGTAGTGGCAAGACTAATAAAGTAGTGAGAAATGAACAAGGAAAATACATTGGACACCTGAACTGCAACTAAGCCAAAATGAAGCTGTGACTCAAGCAGTATTTAAGAAGTTAAAAGAAATTTCACTCTGTATAAAGTTGCTGCTATAATGAGATATCCCCAAAGAACAAACAGACCTAAGTTAAAGTCCTGGTAGGCTTCGGTTTTGCATTATACATAAACTGACCTTGAACCTATAGTCTGTTGTTACTGTGCTGCTTGGGCCATCAGGACACTGACCTGATGTAAGTTCTTTTTCTTTTCAGGTGTGATTTTCCAGACTAACAAAGATGGCTCCCTGCCACCCCACATTCTTTACAAAATTAGACAAAACTCCAGCTTTACAGAGAAGACCAATGAAATCCGGCGGGCCTACTGGCGTCCCGGGCCAAACACCGGGGGCAAATTCTACTTCCTCTACGGTTTTGTTTGGATCCAAGGTAAATGATTGAAATGTAGTGGTTCCTGATTGCTGACCATACAATATATGAGAGATATGATTCACAATTTACATATTTTCTACCAAAATATCTTAAAGTGAACACTGTTTTAGCGCAGTCTGCAGTTGGCAGCAGACTGTGCTATAGATCAGGACTCAGACACAAGCCAGACTGTGGAGTGAAACACATTGTTTAGTTTGTTTCACTAAGAAAAGAATGTATTCTGGAAAAATGCTTAGCACTGTGTACTGGGAAGAGGGCGCACCTGTGAAGATGCCAGTGCAAGCTGCAGCAGAAGCACGTTCTCACTGCAAGTCATCTTTTATTCAGGAAGCAGAGACACAGAAAGTTGATGCCTCCAGACTGAGTGAATGCAGTCTGACTTGGCCCAGAGAGGGTCAAAGCAATGTACAGGTGATTTTTAGCCATGCAGGATTAACTTATAGGTTTGGCTCACCAAAATTACAAAGATAAAACAGATTTTCTCACTTACAGTGCCTTGCAAAAGTATTCGGCCCCCTTGAACTTTGCGACCTTTTGCCACATTTCAGGCTTCAAAAATAAAGATATAAAACTGTAATTTTTTGTGAAGAATCAACAACAAGTGGGACACAATCATGAAGTGGAACGAAATTTATTGGATATTTCAAACTTTTTTAACAAATAAAAAACTGAAAAATTGGGCGTGCAAAATTATTCAGCCCCCTTAAGTTAATACTTGGTAGCGCCAAACACCGGGGGCAAATTCTACTTCCTCTACGGTTTTGTTTGGATCCAAGGTAAATGATTGAAATGTAGTGGTTCCTGATTGCTGACCATACAATATATGAGAGATATGATTCACAATTTACATATTTTCTACCAAAATATCTTAAAGTGAACACTGTTTTAGCGCAGTCTGCAGTTGGCAGCAGACTGTGCTATAGATCAGGACTCAGACACAAGCCAGACTGTGGAGTGAAACACATTGTTTAGTTTGTTTCACTAAGAAAAGAATGTATTCTGGAAAAATGCTTAGCACTGTGTACTGGGAAGAGGGCGCACCTGTGAAGATGCCAGTGCAAGCTGCAGCAGAAGCACGTTCTCACTGCAAGTCATCTTTTATTCAGGAAGCAGAGACACAGAAAGTTGATGCCTCCAGACTGAGTGAATGCAGTCTGACTTGGCCCAGAGAGGGTCAAAGCAATGTACAGGTGATTTTTAGCCATGCAGGATTAACTTATAGGTTTGGCTCACCAAAATTACAAAGATAAAACAGATTTTCTCACTTAACATGGTATTTGTCCATGCAGACTCTTTTGATTTTTATTTGGTCCAAGTATTGCAATTTTTGCCTTCACCTCAATATAATGGAGGCAAATTGAGTTATGTATTAACAAATGCAAGGATTAATAGCTGTTAGGCTATGCAATTTTTATTAGTATGTTTCAAAGCTACAGGAAAAAGCAGAAAGCATTTGCACATGGATTTTAGGTCTCACATTGGTTTTTACCTGGCAAAGAGATGAACATGAAAAAGAGGAGGATGTGTGTAGAGACACAGAACTGATTGCATCATGCTGATCAAGCCAAATAATTTGTAACAGTATTCAATGTACACGCTAAGAAAACACACAGTTGTGGTAGAAATCACAAACACATACAAGTTCTACTCAGCTGACATGTGATCCATACTAGGCACTAAAAGGCAGGATATGCATCGGGCCCGGCAGTATTGATTTTGCCACTTGGGCATAGCAGCTGGAAACACAATGCCTGACATAGAATCACAGTGCTAGCAGTTGTCTCCATGTATGTACACATGCAGCAGACACCGAAGAGCATTACTATTCACTTGGAGTTGCATTACTATTCACTTGGAGTTATGTTTTTAGGATTTCTCTCTATGAAATGTTGGAAATGAAAAAGAGAAATTTAGAAAAGTAGAGTACTTTGTTTCTATTCATGCTTTGTTTTGTGCTCAACTTGCCCTTGATTGGCCAGCAGGGCAGCTCAGTGCTGTAGATCAGAGAGTTATAACCGCGAGGGCTCAAAAACATAGCCGGTCACATGACTCATGTAGCTTTGAATAGTTCCAAACAGGTGCAATACAGATCCATTGTTTTCTATAGGGAACACCAGGTTTTATCAACAAATTACTTTTACTAACTTCTACAGCCTTGCAAACTAATTTGGTGTATTGTCAATGGTGATGTTTACAATGTTAAATATTTGTAGTATTGTCTTATTAATAATAAAAGAAACACATTAGAGTGAACCATTACCACAGACTGTTCCACCTTCTGTGATAGCTGGTATCACATTTTTTGGTAATCCTGTCGACTTTTACATACCAATATACATACTGATCTATCAGTTTGTCCATTTAATTAAGTGAAGTAGTTATACTCTATTATGAATATAGCTTACATAAAAGGCCTCATTAACTGGCAGCTATTAGTAAATTTACACAAGTAAAAAATCTGGAAACATCTTCCACCACTGCTCTCTAGTAACACTCACCAAGAAAAAATACCAACTATATCCTGAGTACATTCTTACACTCTGTGCTGAATCAGCAGCATCTCTGCCTGTTTCATCCAGTCCACACAACTCTAAAATCTGATCAAAGTGATCCTGAAGATTTTGAACTACATCACACTGATGCCAATTTCCTGTCAGTCTCTAACAGTCTGACTCACTGTTTGTCACTGTATAACATTGTCAGACTCAGTGAGATGAGCTTGAAGATGGACAAACCTTTATTGAAACATGTTTATAAAGACCACTTTAATGCTGAGCGTTTGTTGCAGAGGAGCACTGATGTCTTGAGTGGAAGGATGCTGGACAGATCTGGTGTAGTGAGGATGTACAGGGCTGCACAGCCAGGGAGCAGGATGTTGGAAGGAGCAACACGGGAAGATATGGATTTAAAGAGCAGAGATCATCTGCTAAAGCATTTATACAGAAACAGTTTTTCATATTTGTAATTTTCCATATAAAATATTTCACTGATAAGTGTTACACAGACCCAAAACCTTAACATCAATCTGACAATGATAAAAACAGTTTTGGAAAATTGAATGAACTTTTCTAATTTTATATTTTCATGTTATGAGTGTCACACTGACCAACGGTCCACTTCATGGATGCAGGTCCAGTATTCACTCGCCTTTTAGTTCTGGTTTGGTCTCTTTTTGTCACTTTCCCCCAGATATGATAGAGAGAGCAATCATCAACACATTTGTGGGCCATGATGTGGTGGAGCCTGGCAACTACGTTCAGATGTTCCCATACCCATGTTACACGAGAGATGAGTAAGAAATGGGCTTTGTATTCTGAGATGACGCATATTTTCCTTGTCATATTCTCATGGACTCTCTGTTTAGGTCTTAACATTGGCAAGTTATCACTAGGCAGAGGTGTCATAAACATTACTTTACATGAAATTTGATACCGTGTATTTCAAAATGTTTATATAAATTGTATTCTACATATCTGATAAATATATTTTGTACACATTTATAGATATTTGAAATGCTGAAGATTCCATGCATATGAAATGCAGTGTGGTCTAACAATGTGTGTATATACTTTGCTTGATACTGCATTGTTGTTGTTGTTTTTCTCCAGTTTTCTGTTCGTGATTGAGCACATGATGCCTCTGTGCATGGTGATCTCCTGGGTTTACTCAGTAGCCATGATGATTCAACATATTGTGGCTGAGAAGGAGCACCGGCTCAAAGAGGTTAGACTGTATGACTGTATGTCTGTCACCATTCTGGGCAGTCAGAGTTAACATCAAAGGACTGGTTAACATGTTATGTTTGCATTTGGTGTTTTGTCTTACAGTGGTTCCTCTCACAAAGTTAGGTAATGAAGAGGCGTATCACCCAGTGGAGGCAACATGTCTCTTTTTGTGTTAATGTTGTGGAAAAGTGCTGCCTCCTGTGCCATGAACAGCATGCTCCATGATTTGCATATGGTAGACCTATGAACACAGATGCGAACCAGCTCCACTGATTCCTTTAAGCCTTTAGCTGTTAATATGAGGTTGGAATTATCTTAGCTCCACTTCTATGGAGAGTAGCCACAGAACCAATCCGTCTGTAGACAGTCTGTCGTAATGAATATCCACACTTTCTGAGATGAATTTTCAAACCTTTGCAGCTTTGTGCAAATCAACAGTTTCTTGATCCTAAACGTTCTGTTTCTTTTTTTTTTTTTGCTAACATGGTTGACATCAGTAAATGTTTATAGTGAATAGGAAACAAAAATTTTTGAGTAAAAAAAAAACACAAAACTTTTTGAGTAAATCAAAATTCAAACTGAAAAAAGTGATGTGTAAATCATTTGTGTCCTGTATTACATTGAAAACAATACAGAAACACATTATTTGATGTGATACTTCATCAATTTTATTCTTAGTCCACCACCCCTATTTAGTGAGGGGTGATCTATGTGGACAAAAATAGCTTCCTCCTCTCTCAAACCAGCGATGTTCTCTGGAGAGAATCTGGACTTCACTGTCATCGAAAGAATGTCCTTTGTCCTTCAGGTGCAGGTGGAGTGCTGACTCTGGTCCACAGGGGGTGGCCCTCCTGTGTTGGGCCATGTGTTTGTGAAGCGGCTGCTTAGTTTCACCAATGTACAAGTTGTTACACTCCTGACTACACTTAATTTCATACACCACATCACTCTGTTTATGTCTGGGTGTTTTGTCCTTCGGATGGACCAGTGTTGCAGCATCAGAACTGAAGTGATTTACACATCACTATTTTCAGTTTTATTTTAGATTTTACATACAGTCCCAACTTTTTCTGATTTGGGGTTGTATAAGTCAAAGTCTCTCTAACCTACATCTCTAATCTGGAGTCACTGACTGGACTGGTTTGCTCACTCCTGACTCCAGTTTGCTTTTGTTGATGTCCTCTGCTTTGTCCCTGCTTTTTCAGCCTACACAGTAATATTTAAATGATGTATTTCACACAAACAAGACCAATGTAATGATTTGTATATTAGGTACAATAGGCAGTTTGTTCATTATTATATTAAAACTGACCATATTTTAAGAGAAATACAAACAGGTAACAAATGAAAGGCAAAACTAACAAAGTGTCTCAGTAAGGTGTTGGGCCACCATGTGCCACCGGAACAGCTTCAGTGCACCTTGGCATTGACTCTTCAAGCGTCTGAGCTCTACTGGAGGGATGAACACCATTCTTCCAAAAAAATACAGTGTTTCAGATTCAGGCAGTATTCCCTTGATGGTGGTGAAGAGCGCTTAACACATTGCTCCAACACTTCCCATAGATGTTGGTTGAGATCTAGTGATTGTGAAGGCCACAGCATATGAATCACATCATTTTCATAGTTTTCTAACCATTCATTGAACCCTCCTGCTCTGTGGATGGGGGCCCTGTCATCCTGGAAGAGACCACTCTTTTTTCTCAAGTTTTTCCTTTGACTTGTCTCCTGTCTGTATAAACATAAATCCAGGTAACTACCCAGGGATCACTAACATTTTCTTATGACTATAAATGTGTTATAGTGTTATCAGGGCAGATTATGAGGTATTTACAATACACGAGGATGGTAGTAGTGATTAGAATATGATGAAATTGACAGTAACAATGACACTTAATGGCAACATCGGTAATCTCATGGAGGAATAGGAAGACTGTTTATCAAAAACCCAGACATAACACTTAAGACTAAAAATGTTTTACTATCACTGAATTAACAAATAAGCAAACCTATAGTGGGTAAGTCTTTCATATGTGTGTAGCACAAAATAGTTTAAAAAAATCATACATGTACCCATCATGTCACTTTCTCAGGTGATGAAGATGATGGGTCTGAACAATGCGGTCCACTGGGTGGCTTGGTTCATCACTGGCTTTGTCCAGCTGTCTATCTCTGTCACCGCTCTAACAGCCATCTTGAAGTATGGTCGGGTGTTGCTCCACAGCGACCCCTTCATCATCTGGCTGTTCCTCACCATCTACGCCGTAGCCACCATTATGTTCTGGTAAGATCTCCTGGTTCTGCTTAATTAGCAGTCCATCCCTCATTTTTCAAAATGTGTCAGTTATCATAGCTCAACAACTGGCTGATAAAGTTCAGACACATTTGCAGTGTAAGGAAACACTGTGCTTACCACAGTCTAAATGCCCCAACACAAATACTGTATACCTAAAATCAGGAAATTACAAAGTAAGACAATAACAGCCACGCTTCTTAAGTCCGTTTTAGAATTGATTTTAAGTTATTGATTTTTGTTTTTAAGGCTCTTAATGGTTTGGCTCCATTTTACCTTACCAAACTAGTGCACTGGCACAAACCTGCCAGGTCCCTCAGATCTTCAAGCCAGTTTCTTTTAGAGGTTCCTAGGGTCAGATATAAACGCTGGGGTGACCGTGCTTTTACTGTTGCAGCCCCTAAATTATGGAATAGTCTACCTTTTAATGTTAGGTCAGCTACTTACTTTTAAATCCTTGCTTAAAACCTATTTATTTGGCTTGGCTTTTAATACACAGTAGGGCTTGATGCATTCCTTTTAACTTAATTTTAATTTATTGAACATATGTTATGTGTGTCTGTGTTATTGTGCTGTTTTATTTTTATTTGCATTGATCTTATTTACTTTATTTTAGTCATTTATTGTGATTTTATTTTGCCATGTAAAGTACTTTGGCCAGCTGGATGTTGTTTTTAAAGTGCTATATAAATACATTTGATTTGATTTAAATAAAGTGGGTGCTAGGGGAGAAACCTAATTACTGACCTGCTGTATGCATGCATGCATGAACAATGGCTATGCAGCCCATGTAGTGAAAGCAGCTTCAGTCCTCCATATACATCTGCTCAGGATAAGGTCAGGTACAGTGTTGAGTCTATGTCACCTGTATTGTGGCAAACGCTTAAAATAATCATACACATATTCTTAAACGACAACAATTACACACTCTGTGCAGACAGCTGGTGTGGAGGAAATGATATGAAATCAATTATGAATCATGTACAAATCACAGTAGAGAGAAGCGAGTCCACATCGTGAGACAGAGGACTGAAACATGTGGTGGACATACCTTCATGTGAACAAGTCATTACAGTTACCAGCTTACTACAGTGCAGATAAACATGTTTGATTGCCTGTGTGTCTTGATTTATATTATAGCATTTGATTGCATTGAATCAGAGATGAGGCAGTAAACAATAGCACTCTTTCTTGGTCACTAAGCATATGTCTGGTCAATGAAATTAAGGGTGATTTTAAGTACTGCTATTACAGTAATATCAGCAACTTAGATGCAATTTTTTATTTTTGATTGTTGTAGTCTCTTATTGCTTGGTTGATGTAAATGCAGGCAGTAGTATTATCATATATTATTAGTTATTTTTATGTGTTTGTTGGAAGAACCTCTGACTTCACCGCGTCAGACCGAGCTTTAGACTAGGAATCATTAGTTTGACTCCCCGTAAATATTTCATGAATCTATTACATGATAAGGACACTCATCTAACTTCCCTTTGTTTTCTAGTTTTTTGGTATCAGTAATCTACTCAAAGGCAAAGCTGGCTTCAGCCTGCGGCGGAATCATCTATTTCCTCAGCTACGTGCCCTACATGTATGTGGCCATTAGGGAGGAGGTGGCCCATGATAAGATCACTGCCTTTGAGAAGTGCATTGCTGTAAGGCCTTTTCTCTTTTTCCCTACCTTTTCAGTTGAAGTTAACTACATGTGGGGTCTGTTTGTAAAATCTGATCCCTGTTTTGTGGCTGTAAAGTATAGCCTAAATAATTCAGATGATAATGTTGTGAATAAATTCTTGCTTCACCTGTCTCCTTTAGGCTCTGATGTCCACCACTGCCTTCGGCTTGGGCTCCAAGTACTTTGCGCTGTATGAGGTAGCAGGTGTTGGCATCCAGTGGCGGACTATTAACCAATCACCAGTAGAAGGTGATGACTTTAACCTGGGTCTGTCCATGATGATGCTCATCATTGATGCCAGTGTGTATGGTGTGCTCACGTGGTACATAGAGGCCGTGCATCCAGGTATGAACTCTGTTACCCTCTGAATCATTCTGTTCCCTGTTTTATTTCTTTTCATATAGATTAGCTCAAATGTGTCTCCCCTTTCTTATAGGGATGTATGGACTCCCCCGCCCATGGTACTTCCCCTTGCAGAGGTCCTATTGGTCAAGCAGTGCGCGTGTTGAGACTTGGGATTGGCCATGGTGTGGTGGTGGGGCAGTCAGGCTCAGTGTGATGGAAGAAGATCAGGCTTGCGCGCTGGACCAGCGGAGATCTGGTATGATCATTGGGGCTGAGGAGGACCGCTTATGAATGAAATTCTCATGTTACATAGATCAACTTAAGCAGTTCAAACAGTCTAAACTAGCATATACTAGCACACATGATCCATTTGTACATTAATGACTTACATACTATTTGTAAGCACTCTGCTTATCTTATATACGGAACACAGTAAATTCCCTTTCCTACTTAAGTATTGGTATCACTGTCACCACACACTCTGCAGATTTAAATTTCTTGTTTGAAATGTATAAATAAAAACATTTAAAAATGTATTTTCAGATGTTACGGGAAGTTTTCAGAAAAAATTAAGCTGCCACCAAGTTGCTGCAGCAGCTGGTTAGCTGCTGGAAAACAGGGCAAGCAGATAGCTAAAGGTGAACAGAATTTAGGGAGGGGTGCTTATAGTACAGAAATATTACATTTAAGAAGTTCACCATCAAAATCTCTTCCCAGAAACAGTCAATAAGAGAACTGTGTGTGTGAACCTCAACACAGAACCTCATACTGTATCAAAGGTTATATTTAAATTAAGTAAATGGGAATGAGAGGCGAGTGAGATGATACAGTCTTATGCAAAAGTTTAGGCACCCCTTGATAAATAACAGATTTTGGTGATTTTTTATTTGAACAGATGTTAACACAGTTTCTCTTGGAAATGGAAAAAATGCACAATATTTTCTGCAAACAGTGATGCATAGTTACTTCTTATGCCATAAATTGAACAAAAATAAAAAATAAAAACATTATTATGGCATGGTGCAAAAGTTTGGGCACCCTAAGAGTTCCAGAGTCTCAAAGTCTCTCACAAGGTTTCAGACCTTAATCAGCTCATTAGATCTGATGCACAGCAACAGCTGTCATTGGTAAATGCCAATTTCAAAGCTGTACAAATACCTTGACTCTTCAAACCTTGTGCACACACTTGTGGACACCCAGCAACCATGGGTTCCTCTAAGCAGCTGTGTAAGACCCTGAAAATGAAAGTTATTGATGCCCACAATGCAGGAGAAGGCTACAAGAAGATAGCAAAGCGTTGTCAGCTTGCAGTTTCCACAGTAAGAAATGTAATTAAGAGATGGCAGATCAGGGGAACTGTGGAGGTCAAGATGAGATCTGGAAGACCAAGAAAACTCTCGGACAGAACTGCTCGTATGCTGGTCAGAAAGACAAATCAAAACCCCCATTTGACTGCAAAAAACCTGCAGGAAGATTTAGCAGACTCAGGAGTGGTGGTGCACCGTTCCACTGTGCAGCGATGCTTGCACAGACAAGGCCTTCATGGAAGAGTCAGCAGAAGAAAACCTTATCTGCGTCCCCATCATAAAATCCAACGTCTGAAGTATGCAACAGGACATCTACAGAAGCCCGATGCGTTTTAGAAACAAGTGCTGTGGACTGATGAAGTTAAAATAGAACTCTTTGGACACAATCAGCAAAGGCATGTTTGGAGAAAAAAAGGAGCAGCATTTCATGAAAAGAACACCTTGCCAACTATTAAGCATGGGGGTGGATCTATCATGCTCTGGGGTTGTGTTGCAGCCAGTGGCACAGGAAACATTGCACGGGTGGAGGGAAGAATGGATTCCACTAAATACCAGCAAATTCTGGAAGCAAACATCACACCATCTGTAAAAAAGCTGAAGCTGAAAAGAGGATGGCTTCTACAACAGGACAATGATCCTAAACATACCTCGAAATCCACTATGGAATACCTCAAGAGACGCAGGCTGAAGGTTTTGGAATGGCCATCACAGTCCCCTGATTTAAACATCATTGAAAATTTGTGGGTAGATCTTAAAAGAGCTGTGCATGCAAGACGACCAAAGAATATTACAGAACTAGAAGCCTTTTGCAAGGAAGAATGGGAGAAGATCCCAAGTACAAGAATTGAAAGACTTTTAGCTGGCTATGAAAAGCGTTTGCAAGCTGTGATATCTGCCAGAGGAGGTGTTACTAAGTACTGATTGTGTAGGGTGGTATCTTCACACCTGTTTGTACTGGGAATTGGAACTTCAATTTTTAAGTTGTAGTTTGGCTATACCTCTGAATCTTGCTCCCAGAATTACCATGTGCTGATTGCACTAAATTCAATATATCAACTGGAAAAGTAATAAAGGCCATTAAGTACAGTATGTGACCACAGAATGGTCAGGTAAGAGATAGCTAAAGAAAAGAAGTAGAATAAGAGGGACTGAGAAAGTAATATTGTTTGTTCAGTATTATTTCTCCCTGTCTTGTTGTAACTCCAGAGGAGATGCGTGGTATAGAGGAGGAGCCAAGCCATCTTCCGCTGGTTGTGTGTATTGACAAACTGACCAAAGTGTACAAGACTGGCAGCAAACTGGCCTTGAACAAACTCAGTCTCAACCTCCATGAAAACCAGGTGGTCTCCTTCCTGGGACACAATGGTGCTGGCAAGACCACAACCATGTGAGTAGGGGTTGCATGCTTGTGCATAGTATGTTTGATGACTAAAGTCAACAATGAGCATGGATGTTCAACTGAAATACTGATAGTGTGTACAAAAAGATTTAATTTAATCTAATTTAATCTAATCTAAGGTCATCTTCTTCAGCTGTGATGCTTTGTAAAACCTGCCCCTGTCAGGTTTACAGAGACACCATCTCATTCAGTACTTAGACTAGAGCACTTTTTAGTGTCACATGATGTTTTAAATCCCGTTTAGTTTTTGCATAAAAATCCTTGTACTTTGGAGTAAATTTTGGCATGAACAAATGTCATATTTATATTTCCTTGAAAACTTCAGCTTAAGATCAAATATTCATAACTAAATAAGCAGCGCCTGAAGTTAAAGTTCTTATAAAAACATTAAAAAGTGTTTAAGGTTATAATCTTTAAAAAATTAAGTCCTGGTGATTTGGTTTTATTTGAATTTGGTAACCTGTAGTTACTGGTGGTAAGAGCAGGTGTGTTTTACAGGTCACAGTGTTCATTGAGAGCAGTAACCACTCGGTCAGAACTGCATCAGAACAAGAGCACCTTCTGTTTAGCCTGTAGTCAGACTATCTATGGACTGAGACAGTTCACCACATTATGCTGTAATAAATGTTTTAATAAATGATTACAGTGGCAAAACCTCTTTCAATGTACATATGGGCATGTGAGTGCTGTATTAAGATGTACTTGAAAAAATGTAAAGCAGTAGCATCAGGAAATGCTTACTTTGCAGTACTGTAGCTCTTATATAAATGTGTAGATTCTAGATTCAAAGTGTTTATTGTCATTGTATGCACAGTATGGAAACGTGTTTCCCTGCACAGTGAAATTCTTGCTTTGCCGTCCACTGAAATGTATAGATAAAGAGTGACATAAAGATCTAAAGGCACTTCAACCAGCGAGTGAACCGAAATGTAATAAAAAGTATCTAAAAATATAATGAGAACACAATAAGAGATAACGTATGCTACATCGAAGCTGTATGCGCAATACAGTAGGTAGTATACATGGGTATAAACAGTGTTGGAAATAAAATATTAAAAACTGCTTTGCAAATGTTGTATGAAGAAGGAAGTGCATTTAATATGTTTGTTAGAACTGAAGGATACACACAGTGGATTTTGGCGAACAACACTTAATGTAAATGTAACTTCTATTTCATTACTAGAACTTCCAAAAAACTCTCACTCAGTTAAACTGGCTGATTTGACAGCAGCCTCAGACAGGCTACAATTATGATCAGATTTTGACAGAAATATTGTGAAATTCTTATTGGTGCATAGAGATACGTGACATCACCTTTTTTCAAATGAGCCAGGTCAGTGAGAAAACCTAAAAAGAAAAAACACAAATACAGAAATTTCATGTGAAACTCAACAAAAATATTAGTTATTTGCATTTGCAAGGCAAAAGTATCTCAGTGGTTACTTTATAATTCAAAATCATTCAAAACCAGTATAGTTCTGACAATGCATGATGTATGTATTTTTACTGTAGGATATGAGTGGAACAGTGGAGGAGTTTGCATGTTCTCTCTGTGGGTTCTCTTTGGGTACTCCGGCTTCCTCCCACAGACCTAAGACATGCAGCTTATGTGTGTGTGGCTGTTTAGCTACATAACAGCCCTGTGATAGACTGCTGACCTGTCCAGGGTGTACCCCCACTTTTCACCCAGTGTCAGCTGAGACCAAAAACAAATCTAAGAGAGTGAATACTGGACTTCAATATGAGAGTCGATATACCAAGGCATACAACATATAAATCTTGCTTGATTTGCTTCATCAGTGCTACTGCTACTCACTGCCTATAATGAATTGCCATAGGTCCATCCTGACGGGCTTGTTCCCACCCACCTCTGGTTCTGCCACCATATATGGTCATGACATCCGCACGGAGATGGAGCGTATTCGTCAGAACCTGGGCATGTGTCCACAGCACAATGTCCTGTTTGACAAGCTGAGTGTGGAGGAGCACCTGTGGTTCTACTCCAGACTCAAAGGCATGGCTGAAGAAGACATACGCAAAGAGATGGACAAGTCAGTACAGGTCTACTACATTTAAGTCAGTTTGGTTGTGTCTGTGGGAATGTATTCTTTGTCTGTGGCAATCAGACAGGTACAATAAAACATTACATATAAAGACAGTCCAAACAAGTAACTGATTATACAGTGACAACAACAAAATGGAACCTCTACAATGTTACAACAGTGAATTATTAAAGCTCAAAAAATGAGGTGTATGTACAATATGTCTTAGTACTTCTATGCAGAAGCAACTCGATTTATACTGTACAAACTCTCCCAAGAATTGTTGTAAGACTGGAGAAGTTACTATGTCTGCATTATGCAAGTTAAAATATGGGGTTTCTCAATTACCCGCTTTGTTTAGAGTGTTACAAATCTCTTGTCATCAGTAGGTACACCGTGGTTTACCTATCTATGGAGGAAAAATTCAGATTAATTTGTGCTGTTGCGGTTTGTTGTGACACAACCCCAGCTTCTCCAAGTTCACCAGGAGCTCTCAGACCATCTCTTTCACTATACTGGCATTTTTTTTGCTCCAGGCAGACCTAAAATCCCCCCACCCACACAAACAAAACATGCTTGGTAACACCTGGCTGCGCATAAAGTGTGCTGCGTTTGTGGCCAACAAAATTGCACAACTCCGTTGAACGCGCCCATATTCACCTTGTGACTGTAGTTTAGACTGTAGTTTCATGCTGTGCCCTCTTGCAGGAAAATAGGGACCCTAGTCTTTTTTGTAAATCACAAGCATGTTTGATTCCTATGAGTTTCTTATCACATACTATCCCTAGATAGCTATTAGATAAAGGCTGGGGCCTTTGTTTAGAAAATACTTCTTATTTGATTGTTGATTCCCTAGGTAATACACTCAGCATGTGATAATGGTTGACCACACAGGTAGGAGTTGAGGAGTTGATCCTGCAAGGCATTACTGCCTGTGGCACCTCAGCCAGTGGTAAGTGACCAGCTGCAGGGTTGTCATGCAGTAGGCACCCTTCCTCTTTCTTTCATTCCTCTAATCCCAGAATCCCATTTTCGAGAGGAGCAGCAGCATCTCCCTGCCAGTCCCTGCAGCTGGATGTAAATCTCAAGGAATCTCTTTTTGCCACCCTGTGGCATCGGTGTTACCCCAGCTTATGCCCGTCCTCCTTAGTCACGGCAGAAAATGTGCTTTTTCTACATTTTCAGATAGCTCTTTTAGTGCCTTTTTCAGTATGCCTCGGTACAGTCCTATGCCCTTCCGGAAGAATCTAATTAAAAGGCCCATGAAGTCAAAGAGGTTCATGAAGGATGAAGCATTCCAACCATTCTTCCTGCAGTAGCTCACCAGATTGGTCTTCTTCTCCTCATACACTGCCTCCAAGCTTTTTGGCAAGGGCACCCACCAGCACAACTTTTGAGATGCTGACTGCATGACAGTGTCAAGCGTCATGACTTTGATGACAGTGTCGGGAAGGAACCGCAGCTGCTAGTTTATTTCTTGATTCATTGTGCAGTCTTTCCCTGGGGCCAAGATTGTACAGTCATAAATGGTGGTACTCTGCGCTGATCCACCTGGTGGTACAAACAGATCCTCTGTTCTGCCTTGGTTCCCCCATTGATAAACTTAACACTTATTCAATGTTTACTTATGTTGTTGATAAATTCAGTATAATGTACATTTCCAAAGCAGCATCAGTACAACAAAAGAGTTGCGGTATACCTATCACTCTGTTGCTCTCAGTTTCTCTTCTCATACAAATACTATTTTCTGTTGCTAATTATTTTCACTTGCTTTCACTTTGCCATTTTTTCAGTCACTGTTAAGCTCCTGACAGTGTAGGTCAACTCAGCTGGCACATTCTTCCCTGGTAGCTTCATACTGTGAAACAGTAAAGTGAATGAAAGGCTTTCTGCAGTGGTGGAAGAAGTGCTCAGATCCCTTACTTAAGTAAAAGTAGCAATATCCCACTGTAAAAATACTCTGTTCCAAGTAGAAGACCTGCATTAAATAAGTTTAGTAAATGTACAAAGTTTTAGCATCAGTACATACTTAAATTATGCAGAATGGCACATTTAACATTAATATAGATCATATTATTGTATTATAATTACTGATATACTGCATTATTGTGTTCATCACATTTAATGTTGCAGCTGGTAGACGGGGCCTGTTTGTAACTAGTTTATATGCTTATAATTTGAAATGAGAAATGAGAAAAGACATAACTCTGTTGTTGTACTGCTGTAATTATGCTGTGGAAATGTACATTATACTGAATTTATTCTGTTATCATTATAATGCAGATAAGTAATGACACAGTTAGTGCTATAACTCTAGTTATAGACACTGATATGGAGAGCTGAATTAGCTGTACAGCAAGTAACAAATTGCTTTGCTGTGTGGATGTGCGTGTGTGTCCAGAATGATTGTTGACCTGGAGTTATCCAACAAGCGTCACAGTTTGGTGCAGACTTTGTCCGGCGGAATGAAGAGGAAGCTGTCTGTGGCCATTGCCTTTGTTGGCGGTTCTAGGGCCATCATCCTGGACGAACCCACAGCGGGTGTAGACCCATACGCCCGCAGGGCTATCTGGGACCTCATCCTCAAATACAAGCAGGGTGAGTCGAGACTCAGGTCCAGAGGACAGGGTTATGCAATGAAAGGTACTGGAGTTTTGAAAGTGATCTTTTAGATGCAAATGTCTTCTGTATGTAATCATCAGTAAAGCTGATTTCCCCTCAGGTATCTTCTTTATAAAAACATATCCTTCAGTAGTACTGGATCTTTTTCACATCAAAGAATTCCTTGACTTACTTTTCTGTGCTGCAGAGGGTGAGGCTGCCTGGGGTCAGATTTTTGTCTACTCAAAGAAAAACTATGTTTAAGGCTGCAAGACTTGACATGGGTGCAGTTTTAGATTTTGTGTGTTGATTGCTTGCATGAAGCGAAAAATAGCTAATTAGCAAAAGAAATGTAATGATTTCCTTCTGTATTTAGTTTTCACATTATTGTTGTATATACACATCCTGTCCATTTTAGAGTTTTTGTTTGATCACTGTAGTGCAGACCAGCTGCTGAATGTGTGTGTGTGTGTGTGTGTGTGTGTGTGTGTGTGTGTGTGTGTGTGTGTGTGTGTGTGTGTGCATGTGTGCGTGCGTTGTACCTCTGTCCCAGGCCGTACAATTCTGCTGTCCACCCACCATATGGATGAAGCAGACCTCCTGGGAGATCGCATTGCCATCATCTCACATGGGAAACTCAAGTGCTGTGGCTCACCACTCTTCCTGAAGAGCACCTATGGAGACGGATACAAACTGACACTCGTCAAAAAGCAGAGTGAAGGCAGAGGTGTGTGTAGGGGTTCGCTTCTTTTCAGTTTACCCACCAGTTAAAATATTGATAGGTTTATAGTTAAATTGATAGTAGGAAGTGTCACTGACCAGCTCCTTAAACTGTTTCAACCCTGATTATCTTATTCAGTTTTGCTCCTGTTATTTACAGGCATTTGGCTGAGACACTAGTTAATGAGACACTAGGCACAGGTTAATGTCTTAGGAAGACGGGACTTATAGTGCTGCTTTAGATGCTGGGTTTGACAGAGTGTAAGAATTATGTTGATGGGGCATTCTGATGTTTAGTTTGGTAAATATATAAATAAGAATGAAAATTAATAGTGGAAAAAATTATGTTCATGGCTTTTGTCACTTCTTGTTTTGATTTTATTTGTTTTTGTCGGGCCTTCCCATCATGCCTTGGGAAATGTAAACAGGAAATCTAATCTTGCCATGGAGTCAGCCAGTGAGCTGTGGGCTGCACTCAGGTCTCGTGTTTTATTCTTTAGTATTTCTAGATTTGGTGAAACTTCACTATTAAAAGTCATCCTGCTTTAGTGGGTAGCAGTATAAAGAATAAGCCAGTGACAAAGTCAGCTGCACATATGTGTAATCTCTGCTTTGTTTACACTAGTAATCTAGCTTCTTGTGCTACATGTAACACTCTCACTCTTTTTTCCCTTTAACCATCCTGTCTTCCACTGCTCCATCTATTCATTGTTTTTTGGATTTTTCTTTGATCCGTTCCCATGAATGGCCCATACAGGCCAGGGCAGCCAGTTGCAGCCTCCTTCGTCTCTGTCTCCACCCTCCTCTCAGACACCTTGCTCAGAGGCTCAGGTCACCCAGTTTATTCGCCAGTTTGTGGCATCTTGCCTGTTGGTGTCTGACTCCAACACTGAGCTGTCCTATGTGCTGCCCTCTGAGGCTGTCAAGAAAGGCTGCTTCGAGAGGCTGTTCCAGGTATGCAAGCATACACAAAAACTTCTTGACTTGTTGGTGGTCTTCTGTTTTTAGATAAACAGTTAAAATGATGTAAAGAATCTTTCAAACACAATCATTATAAAAGGCATCTTTGAACTGGCACATGTTTGTTTAGCTTTCTATAGCAATGGGTGGATATACTGAAAATTTTCCAAACTGACATTATACATTTTTTGCCAACCTGATTTAATTTAGTCCCTTTGAACAGGCTGTCAATTGTAGCCAAAAACCTCTTAAACCTTAACCAGCCAGCTGTGGGTCAGTCAGTACAAACTTTTACTGTGCAGCCAAACACTGTCCAGAGCTTCATTTACAATTTTAGAGGAGATCCCAAAGTTTCCAAAGACATTCAAGCTGAATTTTTGGAAAATCTGTAAACTAAAAAAAAACTTTGTGCAAGTCATGTATAATATGTCTCTCATTTTTTTTGAATGATGCAACACAGTCTTCTATCAGGACTAAGGCACACAGGAAGGACCCAAAGATGCAGACACAGACTGAGGAGCTAGTAGATTTTAATAAGAATACTGGGACAAGGAACAAAGGAAAAACTAGAGGGGCTCAACCTGACAAGTGTAAAACAAAATCTCAACAAGACTTCAGCTAAACAGAGCAGTCAGGGAGCTAGGAAAATGAACTAAAAAAAAAACTTAATTCAAACAAACCCAAAGAATAGAACTGAGAGTCCAAACTGTAGTTAAATCCAAAGTCCAAAGGGGAATAGTCCAATAGGCATGGGGCAAAACACAAAAACAGGAGACGTAGACCGAGCTTCAGAAACATGGAAACGAACAGGGTGGGGTGAAAGTATGAACCAGCGTCTGACTGAGGGGAGTGAGGAGAATATAAAGGCAAGAGACCGGGCGATAACAAGCAACATGAGAAAGCAATGAGTGAACATCAAGAACCGGAGGAAACTCATACAAAATAAAAGTACAAAACAGGAAGCAAGTCCAATAATCCTAACATCATTATGGCTCTCCTCAGCCTCAGTCCTTCAGATCTTAGCGTACAGTAGGAAAACCAATATCCATCCATTCATTTTCCTCCGCATATCTGGAACCGGGTTGCAGGGGAAGGGAGTCTAAGTAAAGATGCCCAGACTTCCCTCTCTCCAGATGCTTCCTCCAGCTCCTCCTTGGAAATGCCGAGATTTTCCCAGGCCAGCTGAGAGACATAGTCCCTCCAGCGTGTCCTGGGTCTTCCCCGGGGCCTCCTCCCAGTGGGACATGCCCGGAACACCTCCCTAGGAAGGCGCCCAGAAGGCATCCGAAACAGATGCCCGAGCCACCTCAGCTGGCTCCTCTCGATGTGGAGGAGCAGCGGTTCTACTCTGAGCTCCTCACCCTATCTTTAACGGTGCACTCACCCACCCTTTGGAGGAAGCTCAATTCGGCCGCCTGTATCTGGGATCTTGCCCTTTCGGGCATGAGCCAAAGCTCATGACCATAGGTGAGAGTCGGAACGTAGATCGACCAGTAAATCAAGAGCTTCACCTTACAGCTCAGCTCCTTCTTCACCACGATGGACCGGTACATCGACCGCATTACTGCAGAAGCTGCACCGATCCGCCTGTCAATCTCCCATTCCATCCTTCCCTCACTTGTGAACAAGACCCCAAGATACTTGAACTCCTCCACTTGAGGCAGGATCTCTCCACCAACCTGAAGGGAACAAGCCACCCTTTTCCGACTGAGAACCATGGCCTCGCACTTGGAGGTGCTGATTCTCATCCCAGCCGCTTCACACTCGGCTGCAAACCACCCCAGTGCACGCTGGAGGTCCTGGTTTGATGGAGCCAACAGGACCACGTCATCTGCAAAAAGCAGAGACGAGATCCTGTGGTCCCCAAACCGGACTCCGTCTGGCCCCTGGCTGCACCTGGAAATTCTGTCCATAAAAATAATGAACAGAACCGGTGACAAAGGGCTGCCCTGTCGGAGTCCAACATGCACCGGAAACAAGTCTGACTTACTGCCGGCAATGCAAACCAAGCTCCTGCTCCAGTTGTACAGGGACTGGACAGCCCTTAGCAAAGGGCCCCGGACCCCATACTCCCGGAGCACCCCCCACAGGGGGCAGCGAGGGACATGGTTGAATGCTTTCTCCAGATCCACAAAACACATGTGGACAGGTTGGGCAAACTCCCATGAACCCTCCACCACCCTGAAGAGGGTATAGAGCTGGTCAACTGCATTGTTCCTCCTGAATCCAAGGTTCAACTATCAGTTGAATTCTCCTCTCCAGTACTCTGGCATAGAATTTCCCGGGGAGGCTGGGGAGTGTGATGCCCCTATAGTTGGAACACACCCTCCGGTCTCCCTTCTTAAAAAGAGGGACCACCACCCCGGTCTGCCAGTCCAGAGGCACTGTCCCCGACCGCCATGCGACGTTGCAGAGGCAGGTGAGCCCAACTATCTCTAGCCAGCACCTCTCAACCTCCCGCACAAGCTCGGGCTCCTTCTCTACCAGCGAGGTGACATTCCATGTCCCCAGGGCTAGTCTCCGTGTCCAGAGATGGCATCGCCGGGGCCCTTGCCTTCGACTGCTGCGCGATCCACTGTGCACCAGCCCCTTATGAATCCTCTTGCAGGTGGTGGGCCCACGGGAGGACAAAAAACCAAGATAAATATTTAAAAAAAACAGGTGAATATCATTAACTGACTTCTTTTATTATCTGAAAAACAACCATTTCATACAGTATGACAAATTCATGGTCAATAAAACAGCAGAAATTTGCACACTTAACCAGAGACGTCTTAGCATGTGTGTGATGCCCTGTTCACACGTGATTTACACATGAACCAGTCAGAAGTGGTTCAAGTTGCAGAGCATAATATTTTAAAAATTGTGGTTAAGGCACAGCGCTCTCACTGCTGCGGCCCAGGTTCGAGTCAGGGTTGCGTCAGGAAGGCCATCCGGCATAAAACACGTGTCAAATGTCAACATGCGAGTCATCCGTGTGACGATCCGCTGTGGCGACCCCTAAAAACGGGAAAAGCCAAAAGTGACTTTCTTTTCTTTGTTTTGAAGGGCTTTTTATTTAACATGCTTTTTTACATTACAGACTTCACACACACACACACACACACACACACACCAAACATATACAGTAATTAGACACTCTGTTTGTGTCTACAGGCTTTAGAGCAAAGCTTGGACAGCTTGGCCCTGACCAGCTTTGGAGTGATGGATACCACACTGGAGGAAGTCTTTCTCAAAGTGTCTGAGGAGGACCAGTCTCTGGAGAACAGTGATGCTGGTGAGACCATGTTCCTTGCCTGTGCCTCCCGATAACATCTTCACTGAGTTTTTAGCTTTCATGAATTAGCCATGACTTTCTCATGGTGACTTTCTCTCTGATTTTAGATATTTTTAGAGTTCATTCTTCAGCTCAAGGCTGAGATAATAATCTTTGCCTTCTCTGTCCCTGGGCAGACATGAAGGGTTCCCCAGGGGGCAGCTCATTGGGGAAATCCTCAGTGGGTTTAGGAGGCCCGGGGAGAACACAGGGTGAGACTGGACCTTCATTGGAGAGTGAGAAGCCAGAGGTGGAGCTGAGTAATCTGGAGATGTGCTCCAGGCTGAGCCAGAGCCAGTCCTCCCTGAAATCCTCATCATCCACCGGCTCAGTGAGGGGGGATGAGGGGGGACTCTACACCGACTTCTATGGAGATTATTGTCCACTTTTTGACAATGGCCAAGAGTCTGACTCTGCCAGCCTGAGGGGTAAGACAACAAGATGGCAGATGTGCTGTGTCAGACGTTGCACATTTTATTTTTCTGAAGTTTAAATATGATACTGAATTCAATTAAAATAAGGATTGAAATTAAAGTAAAGTGAGTTATATTTCTACCATGTAAATGTGGTGTGCACCACAACTTTTCTTGTGTGTTTTTTTGACAAAGATATTTGGTTATATCTGTTTTTCCACATCACATCAACTCTGGTTATGTTTTTAAATTGTCCATCTTTAGTCTAACAACATTACAAAAGAACATCCAGTCAGACAGACATGCATTGAAACTACATTTGATTTCATTGTTTTGCCATTTTGTTTTCTCCATCTGATGTCTTTCAGGGGATTCAGAGAACCCCTCATCCCCACAGCCCAAGGTCCTGGAGGGGCAGGGCACCTTCAAGTTGGAGGGTTGGTGGTTAAAGCTAAGTCAGTTTCATGGCCTAATCATCAAGAGGTTTCACTGTGCTAAGAGGAACACCAAGGGCCTCTTCTCTCAAATCCTCCTTCCTGCATTCTTTGTCTGTGTGGCCATGACGGTGGCCTTATCTGTGCCTGAAATTGGTGAGATTTTACATATATAGTTTAGATTAGGTTTCTATCCTGCTTCTCAGGACAAAGAGCTGCTGTTTTCTGTCCTACCATACAGGTAGTAAATGCATTCAGAGAGAAAGTGCGTGAATGCACACAGTACTGCTGCTGAAGTGTTCAGTACTGATGATAAGACTGATGAAGACATTGGAGATTAGAGTTTTGTACAGACCTGGGTGCATCATTGTCTCATGTTTGGGTGAACTGTTTTTACCAAGCTGCAAATCAGACCCAACCACTCTATTCAACCTACCCTTACTTCAAACTACTCTTTCTCTGTGACGGACCCTTACTGTACTCACTTTAAAAGATACTGCCTGTGGTGGATAGAGTATTCAGTCTTTACTTAAATAAAAGTAGTAATATAAATAAATATGTAACAAAATACTTTATTATAAGTTAAAATCTTGCATTTGCAATCCCACTTATGTAAAAGCACAAACATAGCAGTGCTGCAGAAGTTCCAACAAATGTGTTGCATGTGTAGATGACCTTGTTTTCACTCTTCATCTGGAAAATCTTGACAATGGCTGCCTTGCCATCATTTGACACTACCGTCTTGTTCTACACAGCTTTGAGGTGTTTTTTTTTTTTGTTGTTGTTGTTGTTTTGAGTGGGTTATTATCCTGTTTTAGGACCAAACCCTGAAAAGATCTGACTTCCTTTGTTAATGGCCTTTTTGTAAATAATGCTTCAGAGGGTGTAGTAAAGCCATCTTTGCCAGCACTGCCTTTGTCCAGACAGGATTTGTTGTTGTAAGTCATCAACAAAGTCTGGAACATCTTTAGGAACTGCATCAGTTTTCAAGGCTTAATTTACCTCCACTGCTGTAGAAACACTGTAATATTTTTAGTTTTTATTGACTTTATTTTTGTTTTGCCTTTGGCAATTTACGCCTTAGCTTTGCACCATTTAAGCATATTCACTGGACTTGAACTGTGTAAATGTCAAAATTAAAAGTGGAAAAATGGAGGCTGTTCAGAACAAAATGACATAACAGCAGTCAGTGGAAACCAAAGTCATCATCAACCTATGGAGGCTGGATTCAAAATCACACTGAAAATCAAAGTGAAAAATATAAATCATAGTCTCATCCAAGTTGCATGAATTTCCTCACGACAATGGATAATGTGATTCAGAGGTGTGTGTGGCCCCTGTGTGCCTGTATGCACTCCCGACAATGTGTGGGCATGCTCCTGATGAGTCAGCGGATGGTGTCCTGGGGGATCTCCTCCCAGCCTTGGATCAGGGCATCATGAGCTCCTGGACAGTCTATGGTGGCGCTTGGTGGAATCTGATGCACCGATACATAATGTGCCATAGGTGCTCAATTGGATTTAGGTCAGCAGATTGTGAGGGCCAGTTAATAGCATCAATGCCTTTGTCATCCAGGAACTGCACACTCTACACACAAACTACACACTCTGGCCACGTCAGGTCAGGCATTGTCCTGCACCAGGAGGAACACATGGCCCACTGCACCACTGTAAGGTCTGACAGTCGCTCTGAGGATTTCATCCTGTTACCTCACAGCAGTCAGGGTACCGTTGCCTATGACATGGAGGTCTGTGTTGCCCTCCCAGGATATGCCTCCCCAGACCATCACTGACCCGCCACCAAACCGGTCATGCTCCATGATGTTACAGGCAGCATAACAGTCACCACAGTATCTCCAGATTCTTTCACGCCTGTCATGTGCTCAGTGTGAACCTGCTCTCTCTGAAGAGAATGGGGCACCAGTGGCAGACCTGCCAAGTCCGGTGTTCTATGGCGATTGCCAGTCGAGCTGCACAGTGCTGGGCTGTGAGCACAGGTCATACTAGAGGACATTGGCCCCTCATGCCACCCTCATGGAGTTTGTTTCTGACAGTTTGGTCAGAAACATGCACACCAGTAGCTGCTGGAGGTCATTGTGTAGGACTCTCACAGTGCTCCTCCTGTTCCTCCTTGCACAAAGGAGCAGATACTGGTCCTGCTGCAGGGCTGTTGCCCTTCTACAGCCCTGTCCAGCTCTCCTGGTGTAACAGCCACTCTCCTGGTATCTCCTCCATGCTCTAGGCACAGTGCTGGGAGACACAGCAAACCCTTTTGTGACTGTACATATGGATGTGCCATCTTGTAGTAACTGGACTACCTGTGTAAACCGACTGGGCTGCAGGTACTGCCTCATGCTACCGGTAGTTACAAGGACATGAGCGAAACAAAACCTGAGAAGAATCAATCAAGAAGGATACAGAGAGAGTATTTGTCTGTGGCCACCACAAGCAAAACCATTCCCTTTTTGGAGGTCATCTTGCTTTTGCCTCTTCATTGCATCTGTTTATATATGTGTAGTTATACATAATATATTTTCAAGGGAAATGACTATTTTTTAAATTAATTATTTCACATATTAATACATTTTATTTTAAATTTTTTACAACCAAAATCAGAAAAAGTTAAAAATTAAAACTCAAACTAGTGAGTTTTAGTGTAATGATGAATAACTAGTGTAAGTCATCTGTGCCCTGTATTACACTGAAAACAATACCGCAGCACATTATTTGATTTAATACCTCATCAATTTTATTCTTTGTTCAAAATATTCACTTAGTTATTAATTAATTAATTAATCAATGCAAATTATTAATATGTGAAAATTGGGGTTGTAGGTAAACAGTAAATGGTTGCAATTATGTTTTTACTTAGGGCACAAATTACCAGGTAAATGTATGTAAATTTCAAACTTCTTTCACACTTAATGTTTCCAGTTTCATTTCAATAGTGGACCAGTTACAGGGCCTTTAATTTACTAGGTTACCTTACTTTTAAAATAAATAAAACAACCACTAACTGGTAAATGTATATGTTGATTGTGTTGCTTTACAGGAGACTTGCCACCCCTGATCTTGTCTCCATCTCAGTATCATAACTATACCCAACCTAGAGGCAACTTCATTCCCTATGCTAACGAAGACAGACCCCAGTACAGGTACTATGGCACTTTTTTTACGGTTACATTCTATGTGGTGCAATGTCTTTTAGTGCTATTTTAAAGTATTCACGGGGCTAGTGCTATACAAACTGTCAGGTCAGCCTATACAGTAAATAAGGATAAATGTAGAAATGATTTACTCAAATGGTTGGTCATAGAGAACAGTCATTTAAAAGGTCAACAGACCAACTGGTTTTAGTAACTCAGAAATTTGGTAGCTTTCCCAGCTGACACTGGGTGAGAGGCAAGGCATGTGCTGGACAGGTCACCAGTCTATCACAGGGCTGACACATAGAGACAGACAATCACTCACATTCACACCAGCAGGAAATGTAGAGTCTTAACCTAACCTACATGTCTTTGGCCTGTGGGTGGAAGCTGGAGTACTTGGAGAAAACCCACATAGGCACAAGGAGAACATGCAAACTGTGCACAGAAAGGTCTCATTTGGCTGGTTGGTTTGAACCAGGACCTTTCCTGCTGTGAGGCAATAGGCTGTCCTTTGTTACCTTCAACACAGACAAAATATGTTTAGACCTCTGTGTGCAATCAGAGCAGAATCTTAAAGAAGCCTCTTTGGCCTCATCTTTCAGGAGCAAACTGTTTCCAGATGCCAGCCCACAGAAGATCATCAACACCCTCCGTCTGCCCTCAGGCGTGGGTGCTACCTGTGTCCTTAAAACCCCCTTCAACAGCACCCTGGACCAGCTGGCCCAGACCCTCAATCCCAGCGCCAATAATTCCAAGACCCTGGCTGCCCGCTACTTTGACTCCATGTGTCTGGACTCCTTCACCCAGGGGGTCCCGCTCTCAAACTTTGTACCCCCACCTCCTTCACCAGCACCTTCAGATGACCCAGACCCTCGCTTTGAGGATGGACTGTGGAACTTCACAGTTGCCCCTCCTACTACAGTCCGTGGTGAGTCATACTCATAAGGCTGGTGACCACTTTCAAATGAAGTTCTCCTGCAGTTTACTTTTATACTGCTGTCTTGGCCAGTGCACCCTTGGAAAAGATGTTTTTAACATAAAGGGTTTTTCCCAGTTAAAAATTGGTTAAAATAAAAATAAAGATGTGTGGAGCTATGAGGAGTGTAATGTTTCCCAAATTAATACATGAAACAAATAGTAATGGCACATTTCCATGCTGTTATATATTTCCCCACTTGAGGTTTGATGCTCTTATTCGTATCATTTCATTGTGCTCTCTGCTTCAGCCAGCTGAAAAACATGCCACCAGGTGTTCATCTTGACAGAGCATATTCAAATATGTACATAATGGTAATGGTAAATGGTAAATGGACTGTATTTATATAGCGCATTTCCACAGTGTGTTACACTGGCCAAAGCGCTTTACAGAGATGATACACCATTCACCCATTCACATGGACGGAAATATGTATTCATTCCCTTCATTTCTTTTACAGACTCTCAAAATTTGCGCTCTATTTACATGGAGACCCACAAACTGTTTCCTGTGGAAAAAAGCTTTATTCAGTTAGACACCTCTTTTACTTTTGTTCAGAGCCCGCGACATCTCCTCCCACCCTCCCCCTGTCCATCCATGAGCCAGTGCGCTGCACCTGCTCTATGCAGGGGACAGGCTTCTCGTGCCCCAGTGGGGTGGGAGGACGGCCCCCCCTCATGAAGGTGGTGACAGGTGACATCCTAGTGGACATCACAGGGCGGAACGTCTCTGAGTATCTGCTCTTCACATCAGACAGACTGCGCCTACACAGGTATGACTGTAGTGGACACATTTCTTCAAGTGCGAAACATCTGAAAGGGAAATATTGACAGTCTGGAGAGTTTTACAGTACATGCTAGAGCTGACACTGATATCAGTGTCAATATCATCACTGAGATTTGGTGTCATTTTGAATGACAAAATGATATTTTGGACAGGGATGATCTTACTTTCATGAATATTAACCCCTTTTAGCCTAGCCAATGTTTTACACCCAGATAACAATGAGTCAATAGACACTGTTGAGATGCAAGGAGAAGAATCTCCAAAAGGAGATAATGAGAAGATTGTAACATTAGATAACAATGTTATATCACAGTACCACATGTGCTATCCCATGCTGGAGGAAGGATTTAGACCCTAACAGTTGCAGTACTGCAATATAAATATACTCCATTACAAGTAAAATGAATGTATCGACAGTGTTATCAAAATGTACTTAAAGTATCAAAAGCTACTTACAGTTCATTGTACAATGTAATTCATGGGTCTTTATTACATATTACTATTTTATATACTGTTGGCAGTGTATTATATTTCGGTTGTATGTAAAATATTAATTTGTTAAGAAAATTGTAACTAAATCTGTCAAATAAATATAGTGCTGTAAAAAGTATAGTATTTCACTCCGAATTGCCATCAACGCATATACATCTTTCTGAGCTAAGGCTTTTATTTCCAAACCAACCAATAAATTCTATAGGTAGTCATTTTACTGCCTCCTTGTGGCTTTACAGAAATCGATTAGAATTCACCACAAAAAAACGACAACTCCCAGACAATTAAGTAAAAATGTCCAGCAACAAATAAGATGAGAAAACACAATTCATATGTATTTACTGCTTTTTACGTCACTCATTCCTCTCTGTGGTTTGGCTGTGGATCCCAAGTCTTCTGAGATCTCTTTAATCTCTAAGGCATGGTTCACATCAGCAGATATATTCAAACTCAAAATGTTAATAATTAGATTTATAAGTCAAAGTAGCTCTAACCATTTAGTTTTTGTTGATGTCATTAGCTGAGGGGTTCTCTACTTTTTCAGATGACACTATGAATGATGTATTCAAAATGGACAAAACCAATAGTGATTTGTGTATTAGCTAAAATAGATTGTTTTTGTTCATTATTTTAACTTAGGGTTATGATAGATGATATATTTTAACAGCATATTGCCTATATATTGTTTATATATAAAAGCTGGTAATTCAAGAGGGTTCATTTCCTTTTTCTTGATATAAAGACATGTGGACAACCAGTACTGCAATGCACGCCACACAAACATTTTTTTTAAATTGTGTAAACTACAATGGCAACATTCAATACATGACAGTTTTCAGTACTTGATTATTTATGTAGCCACTTTCAGACACAGAGACTATTTAGAAGGCGTAACGGTGTACTGTAACTACACACTGCTGAAGTAGGCCGCAAAAATATAATAACTGAGTAAATCATTCAAATCTGTTTCCTCTTGAATACTGCTTTTGTTCTCAATAGATATGGTGGTTTGACAGTGGGGAACATCCAGAAATCAATCCCAGCATCCTTTGGGAGAAAGATACCTCCAATGGTTCGCAAAATAGCAGTTCGCAGATCAGCTCAGGTAAAACAGACACTCTGCACTGGATAGAAGATCACAAATGCATAGTAATGTAAATACTATATTAACAATGGCTGACTGAGCAACTCTTTGCTTCCAGGTTCTGTATAACAACAAAGGTTACCACAGCATGCCAACATATCTGAATGTTCTCAACAACGCTATCCTGCGTGCCAACCTTCCTGCATCCAAGGGCAACCCTGCTGCCTATGGTAATTACATAATAGTGATATTAACTAAAGTTGGGTCATTTTGAGCCAGCTCCGAGTTTGATTATTATGATCTATGCAAATTTAGTTGTTCTGTTTGTATGTTTTTCAGGTATCACACTGACAAATCACCCAATGAATCGAACTAGCGCCAGCCTCTCTTTGGACTACTTGTAAGTTACTCAACAGCTCTGATATTTAGTGCCTTCAGAAATAACATAAAGGACTTAATTACTTTCTGTGCCAAGTTTGCATGTTCTCCCCATGCCTGCGTGGGTTTCCTCTGGTACTGGGATCTTCTTCATCTCATCCATGGATGATCATGGATGTTTATGGACCATATACATCCTGGCATGGAGCGTGCATGCCGTGATCTTATATTGTCTCCTCTCTGCCCTCGCTTCTGCTCTCTTTTCCTCCCCGCCTCCCTTTATTTCTAGGCTCCAAGGGACAGATGTGGTGATTGCCATCTTCATTATTGTGGCCATGTCTTTTGTGCCAGCCAGCTTTGTGGTTTTCCTGGTTGCAGAGAAATCCACCAAGGCCAAACACCTGCAGTTTGTCAGTGGCTGTGACCCTGTCATCTACTGGCTAGCTAATTACATATGGGACATGGTGAGAATAGATGTGTGACTGGTACTAACAGCTAAAGTAGTTGTCATTGAAGTACTCAGTTTTTTCATATTATAAATGTTACAAATGGTCCAGGTCTGAACATGTTTTTTCATCTCATCTCCCCTCAGCTGAACTACCTGGTGCCTGCCACCTGTTGTGTTATCATTCTGTTTGTGTTCGACCTGCCAGCCTACACCTCCCCCACTAACTTCCCTGCTGTCCTCTCCCTCTTTCTTCTCTATGGGTGAGACATCTGACTACACACACACACACACACACACACACGCACGCACACACACACTTACTTTTTACTCATCAGTCATAATAATCTAATGTTGTAATGCCCTAGCTGAATTAGAATATACATCAATGTTCATAGTCATTCTCTGGTTTTATGGGGGTGCTCTCAGGTGAACAGCTTTATTAAGCACCTTCCTCCTCAATACATCCATAAGCACACATCTACATGACTGAACGTGAACAGAAATCGCTCCTCAAATCTGATGGATCTGATGAAGGCACACCAGCCATTGTGGCCATGTAACTCCGACAGATATGCAGGGCATTACGGCCATTTGGCAGGGCCATGAAATTTATACCCTACATAAAATGAAGGTTGACAACATTAAAAAACATTCCCATTCATTCCCAGCTCTGACTTCCAAGCTCCGAGGTAAATGGAACGCAGCATAAGTGTAATGACAGCATTAGCACATGACATGCAGTGATGCTTCTGTTGCCTGTATCTACTATTTCACAGCACAAGAGGGCAAATGCTTCAATCAAAAGGCATTTAAGTAGTACCAAAATCTGCACTGTGGTTCAATCTGGTAGATACCAGCTGTATAGGAACCGGTGCCATATTGGCACCAGGTTTGGGAACCCATCCCTATCTTTATTTCAGTACAGGAGTCACTGTCTTGAGAATTCATTATTTTCAGAATGAGACTGGATTAATAATTATTTATTTGTTTACCGTGTGGCTCAGGAGATACAAAGCCTGGTGCCCTAATTTCAATGTACTATATAATTACGAGGTATTGATAATCATAATTTGTAGTCCCAATTCGCTACACTGTCTTGAATGTAGATTCACAGAACTCTACTATCTAAATATAAATTCAATTTTTGTATTTTCATGTTTTTGGTTTAACCTGAAAACCCATGCCCAGTGCTCTCCAGTTCTCTTCTTTCTCTCATGTCCTGAGGCTTTGGATGTTCTCAGTGATTTTTTTCAGGATGAACCTCTTCCTTCCAGGTGGTCTATCACTCCCATCATGTACCCAGCATCCTTCTGGTTCGAGGTTCCCAGTACAGCCTATGTGTTCCTCATAGTCATCAACCTCTTCATAGGCATCACCGCAACTGTTGCCACCTTCCTTCTTCAGCTCTTTGAACATGACAAGGTTCATTTGACTCTTCTTGCTAAAATGATATAGAACATTGTGCAATAGACCTGCTTTGCTTAGTAAAGCAGTGATATCAGACGTTTCTGTATTGTTATTCTGTATTTATTCCTTCACTATATTCATCTCCTCCAGGATCTCAAAAAAGTGAACAGTTACCTGAAGTCCTGTTTCCTCATCTTCCCCAACTACAACCTTGGACATGGCCTGATGGAGATGGCCTACAACGAGTATATCAATGAATACTATGCTAAAATAGGTACATTTATGACTGAGATGCTTGCACAGAATGCACAAGAATAAAGTCCATTATCATGATGAAGTGGAACTGAATATGACTGTATCATTCCAGTGTTTGAAAAAAGAATGTTCACTTCTCTAAATCTCAGGGCAATTATTGAACCATTGGTTCATCCATTAGCTTTGAAACATGCACAAAACTTGTTAGTAGGTTGCATTCGTTGTTGGTTTGGGTGTCTTCACAAGATGTGTTAGCTGAAAACAAACAAAAAAGAAAGCAACAAATAAATATTGTCAGTCAGTTTGACCTGTAATTCATTCATTTACATTTGACACAGACACATGCTTTAAGAGATCAAAGTAAGAAGATTTAAGTTGCTGGGAATGTGTGCTTTCAGGCCAGTTTGACAAGATGAAGTCTCCATTTGAATGGGACATTGTGACTCGAGGACTCGTTGCCATGACAATTGAAGGTTTTGTTGGCTTCTTCATCACCATTCTCTGCCAATACAACTTCTTCAAGAAACCTTCGTGAGTGTTTTTCTGTCTGAGCGTGTGAGGTGTCAAGTTTTCCATCATTCCCTCACAGTTAAAAAGTGCTCTTCTCTCTACAGCTGCTATTTTACAATTATTCATCATAGAGAAGATTCTAGATAGGGATACCAGCTTCTCCCCTGTGTTACAACGACAAGAAATTTGTTTGGAGTTATAGTAATGACTTTGATGTGATCGACTTTACCTTAATATGATAAAGTTGGTTTATTGCTATTAATGTCTCTAGGAATATAAACAAATACTAATACCTGTCAGCCACTCCAGTTTTCACTTCTGGTCCAGTCACATCAAACAACTTTATTTTCATCTATTTTCTCTCTTTTTTCAATGCTAGTGTTAAAATACAGTTAGTTATCAATTACTACCTGTTAACTCCAGAGCAAGATGCCGCCCACTGCTGTATGCTCATACTTGCTGTGTGATGTCTGTTAAAAGGCATTTTAGGAAATGTTTAAAATCACTAATGTGCATAAAGGTACAGTGAATAAGCTGAGGGTAAAAAGGAGCCCCAGAAATATAAATGAAATATGCTATGTGCATGTTCAGGAGGGTGCCCATCACCTGCCAGCCTATTGATGATGATGACGTAGACGTCGCCTGTGAGAGGAGAAGAGTCCTGCGAGGGGATGCTGACAACGACATGCTGAAAATTGAGAACCTGACAAAGGTTTAAACTGTTGGCTCATTAACTTTTTTACAGAAATTTGCACTGGAAAATTGTATACCAGTGTGTAAATAATTGTACGTTTACTCAAACATCAGTATCTGTACAGCACAGCAAATTAAACTACAAGTTAAACTGGTCATTATACATGCAAAATGTACATTAAACCTTATAAAACGTTGATGGGGTCCTTTAATCAGCATGTGTTCTTTGCCTTTCCCTTAGGTGTATAAATCCAGGAAGATGGGCCGTATCCTGGCAGTGGACCGGCTGTGTCTGGGTGTCCGTCCTGGTGAGTGTTTTGGACTGCTAGGAGTGAATGGAGCTGGGAAGACTACCACCTTCAAAATGCTGACAGGAGACGAGTGCACCACGGGAGGAGAGGCCTTCATTAATGGAAGCAGGTCAGTGTGAGAAAAATGCAGTAACCATTATTTTCATGTTTGTGTGTGTTCTTTAGTGTACAGCACAAAACCAGACTCATTAAGACAGACTCGCATGACAGGAACAGAAAACAAACTAACTGCAATCATCACTTGACACACTAGGCTCAAATGTATGAGGACAGCCCTCTAATAGGCTCAGCTGTATAATAATCAGTTGTTCACTGTTTACTGTCGTAGTTCAGTGACTTTTGGTGTGGTGCTGTCATGGAATGCTTTGCAGAAAGCTGGTTACTAAAGCCTGCTGGATTTTGTCAGTTCACCTGCAAGTGCTGTTATTGTGAAGTGTTTCAGAGCAACATCAGCTTAGCTAAGTGATGAGGTTTATAGAAAGTTCTAGGCTGCAGTAGTCACTACTGAGTTTCAGCCTACTGAGGTCATGACTTAGAGCACTGCACACACTGCCAAACACCTATTAGCATGACATAGTTATGTGATGACAGGTTGTGTTTGCAGTGTTGGGGAGCAGTGAGCTACATGGAATTAAACTACTAGTTTACATTTTGCAGTAGATTACTGGTAGTTCAGCTCCATTCATATTTGCACAGTGATGCAAGACATTAAGTAACGTTTTTGCCATTTTTGAGTAGTTAACAATTTTGGGCCATAAAAAGAATGATTTTAATGTTTATTTTACCCTGCCGCATGTGAGCAGCTGTTCAGCATTGGCACAGACATTTTCAGCACCAAACAGAACCAATTAAGAACACTGAGAACACTGCTCATGTGTCAAATAAACAAGGTATCCTGCTCGGACAAGTAAAAAGATAGGAAAGAATTGTAGCCCACACACCAATTTAATGCCCCAAAAAATGTTTATTCATGCCAAGCTGCCACACCATTGGTGTTTTGACATTGGTATTCATCCAGTATTCACAGCTTATATTCTGACTTGATATACATACACTGTGTGCACAATTATTAGGCAAGTGAGTATTTTGACCATATCATCCTTTTATCCATAATTTCCAACTCCAAGCAGTATAACCTTGAACGCTTATTGGACTTAATGCATATCAGGTGATGTGTTTTAGTGTAACGAGGGAGGGTGTGGCCTAAGGAGATCAACACCCTATATCAAGGTGTGCATAATTATTAGGCAGAATGTTCTCCTCTGGAAAAATGGGCCAAAAAAGAGACTTAACTAACTCTGAAAAGTCAAAAATTGTAAAAAGTCTTTCACAGGGATGCAGCACTCTTGAAATATCTAAGATATTGGGGCGTGATCACAGAACCATCAAACATTTTATAGCAAATAGTCACCAGGGTCGCCAGAAACGTGTTGAGAAGAAAAGACGCAAATTAACCACCAGAGATTTGAGAAGAATCAAATATGAAGCTACCAGGAACCCATTATCCTCCAGTGCTGCCATATTCCACAACTGCAACCGACCTGGAGTGTCAAGAAGTACAAGGTGTTCAGTTCTCAGAGACATGGCCAAGGTAAGAAAGGCTGAAACCCGACCACCTCTGAACAAGACACATAAGTTGAAACGTCAAGAATGGGCCAAGAAATATCTGAAGACAGATTTTTCAAAGGTTTTGTGGACTGATGAGATGAAAGTGACTCTTGACGGACCAGATGGATGGGCCCATGGTTTGATCAGTAACGGACACAGAGCTCCACTTCGACTCAGACGCCAGCAAGGTGGAGGTGGGGTACTGGTATGGGCTGGTATTATTAAAGATGAGCTAGTTGGACCTTTTCGGGTTGAAAATGGACTCAAAATCAACTCTCAGACCTACTGCCAATTTTTAGAAGACACTTTCTTCAAGCAGTGGTACAGGAAAAAGTCTGCATCTTTCAAGAAGACTTTGATTTTTATGCAAGACAACGCTCCATCACATGCATGTTCTCATGTACTCCACTGCGTGGCTGGCCAGTAAAGGCCTTAAAGATGAAAAACTAATGACATGGCCCC